GATGTGAAGCTGATGCTGAGCTTTACTTCTCTGGATTCTTTGCATTTATTTGTGATTTGGAATCTACTTAATTTCTGCAGTGGTTCCAGTCTCCTCTCTGCTCCTTGGGCTGGGGCCGTGAGCGGGGTCCGTGGGGGCCATGGCATATGGGTGGAGGTTAGGACTGTGTGTTGGGGATGGGATCTGGCACTGCCCATCCTCCCCCAGGTCTCTGATGCCACTGGACAGATGAACCTGACCAAGGTGGCCGACTCCAGTCCCTTTGCCCTTGAGCTGCTGCTGTCTGATGACTGCTTCGTGCTGGACAATGGGCTCTGTGGCAAGATCTACGTTTGGAAAGGTACGTGGGGGTTTCTCCATTCTAGCCTGAGGCCCCTGCAGCTGCTCTGACCTGGGCACACTTCCCACTAGAGGGCTCAGCCTGCCTGACTGCTTTCAAAAACAGCCTCAGGGAGCTGCTGAGCAGTTTCTCTTTGCTGTTCCCACCCCCTAAATTCCAGGCAAAGGTTCTGAAATGTCAGCAAGCCTTAGAATCACCACAGGGCCTGTTAGAACAGAAGGCTGGACACCCCCCCCCCCCCAGCCAAAGATTTTGCATATCTAATTGGTTTAAGCCTTGATGCTGGCCCAGGATTACCGTCAAGCATTGCTGTCCTAGAGCACTCCTAGCCTTCTGGGCTGCTGGGATCCCAATCTTGCTATTCTACCTTGGGGTGTGACAGAGCAATTTTACATAAATTAAATCTCACTTTGTCGTCTCAGTAAAGAACTAGTAGAACTTGTTTTTCCAAGAAATTGTACTGGCTGGAGATAGAAACACTGTAATGTATAAGCTTGTTCTCTTGGTTTAACTCCAAAAATGTTGAAACAAAGCTCTGAGTCTCTGGCCCCGGGAACCTCCTTACTTCTCCATGCCTGTCTTTTCTCGAGCATGTCTTACCTTCCTGACCAGATTATAAACTTCCCAAAAGCAGGAACCATATCATCTCTGGTGTCTTGATGAAATAGCATTTTGCTCAATAAATATTTGTGGGGGCAACCAAAGCCAAGAGAAACCCGCAGCCCAGCCTGGCCAGGAAGATGGGGAAGGATTGGGCATGCTCAGGATAGCGGCTACTGGCCAGGAGTACTCTAGGCTCGGGGAAGAGCCAGAGCAGCAGGCAGCGTGGAGCCTTCTAGGAGTTGAGGTGAGGGCAATCGGAAATTGCGCACTGGGGCTGCCCTTCCCTTCCTGCCACAGAGTATCTTTCCCATGAACCATTTCCAAGCTTGAGGGGTTCCCGGATGCCCACAGAAGGGAATTTAACCCCAAGCAAAGAACCGAACCATTTTTGAAAGAGAAACCAGAGGAAAAAAAAAAAATGGGAGCCAGGAAGAGAAGGCTCTTGCTTTAAACTGAGCACATCTTGCATGAAAGAGATGCCCACAGGAGGGAAAGGATAACTTATGGTCTTCCTTTTTACAGGCTCTTAGGTGGCAGACCTGATGGCAGAGCCATAAGGCTAGTTTCAGCTGTTGGGCATTATGGGAGTAAGATGATGATAAATCACACCCTTTTGTCCTGTTTAGTTTTACACAAAAGGCTTGATACTTGTTGATACTTGTCAACAGCACAGTTGACAGACTCCAGAGGCGAGGTGTCCCGGGTGGGACTCTAGATTTAGAGTCTCAGGCCACAGGGAACGTTAGTTCTGAATATCTGTGGGGCCCTGGTCCGAGCAGAAGGTTTTGATTAGAGCAGATAGGAGGAACAGTTTTCATCCCACTTGGGGCTGCCGGGTTGGGAGAAGTCTCAAGGGGCTGACCTCACACCTCCAAACAGCTCCTCAGCATCTTAGCACCTCCTGGTCCAGCTATTCTATGGAATCCCACCTTAAGTTCCCTTGAGAAAATGGGATGTGGGCTAGAGAGGGTCCCTGCTTTTAAAAAATAAATAAATAAACAAATCAATCAATCAGTCCCCTTCCTATTGATCCAGGGCGAAAAGCTAACGAGAAGGAGCGGCAGGCGGCTCTCCAAGTGGCCGAGGACTTCATCTCCCGCATGCGCTATGCCCCCAACACTCAGGTGAGGAGACGCCTTGTGTCGTACCCCCCGCCCCCTCGCCAGGGTCTCTTCCTGTGGTCTCTTGCCCCACAGACTGGACAAGAAGGGCAGGAAATCCTTGGGCACAGTCAGGAACTGTCAGGCCTCCCTACTGGCCCCTCCAGTGGGAAAGCCCTTTTTAATCCTTCAACATTTAAAAGTACATGGTGTTTTCTTTTGCTTAAAAAATTTTTTTAGGGGGATCCCTGGGTGGCTTAGCGGTTTAGTGCCTGCCTTCCGCCCAGGGCGTGATCCTGGAGTCCCGGGATCAAGTCCCACGTCAGGCTCCCTGCATGGAGCCTGCTTCTCCCTGTGTCTGTGTCTCTACCTCTCTCTTTCTCTCTCTCTCTCTTATGAATAAATAAATAAAATCTTAAAAAAAAAAATTTAGAAAGAGCTCTCAAGTACAAGATGGGGGAGGGGCAGGGGGAGGAGGAGAGCAGCAGACTCCTCCGTGCTGAGCACAGGGCTTGATCTTAAGACCCTGAAGTCATGACCCGAGCTGAAACCAAGAGTGGATGCTCAACTGACTGAGCCACCCAGGGGCCCCAAAAGTACATGGTGTTTGCTAAGAGGATGTTGGGCATCTCTCCTCTGGCAGCCCGAGGGTAGAACCTTGAGGGCCAGACTTCTCCCTCTTTCTGCCCTGCAGGTGGAGATTCTGCCCCAGGGCCGTGAGAGCCCCATCTTCAAGCAATTCTTCAAGGACTGGAAATGAGGGTGGGCGCCTCCCTGCCCCCCACCTCCTGCCCGCTTTCTCCTCTGGCTGCCTGGCCAGTGCTGAGGTGCCCCCGAGGCTGTTGAATAAAGGAGACAAGTGCTTTCCCAACTCTCTGCCCTGCTGCCTGCCCTGAGCTAGTCCTCGCTCCCTCACTACCCACCTGAGCTCATCCATGTGCTGGGGCAGAGGAGGGCCCAAGGACAACCCCCTGCTCCACTCTGGGGCTGGAGCTGACGTTGCAGGATGGAGGCAGCCGGGCCAGGAGGTCCCAGAGGGCTAGCAGGTACTGCTGTGGACCCGCTGGGGAGGAGGCACAGCACCAGGCCTCAGAATGGCTTTAGCCGGGGCTTCAGTTCACATGCTGGCTCCCGAATGACATGCTTGCTGTCCAAGAGGACAACTTCTCGCTCCTGTACACAAGTCTGGCTTGTCACCTCCTAGTCACACTGCATCATGTTGGGCTGATGAGCATGGGGCCACTGTAGGGCTGGAGGAAAGCCCCAGACTAGTGTTAAGAGTCATGAATTCTGGCTCTGATTTTACCCTGCCTCCGTGTCAGGCTGGGCAAGTTGCTTTTCCTTGTCTAGGCCTTAGTTTGTTCTCTCGTATAATGGGGTGGTGGCTGGAGTATCAGAGAGGCCAGGTAGCTAAATAGGAGAACGGAGTAGCCCCCAGTGCTCCCACCTGGAGTGCAGGATCCAGGGGCAGGAGCAAGGCTGAGGAAGTCTGGCAGTTCACGAGGCAGGGAGAGCAGTGGCTGTCCTGACCCACTCCCGTGCCAGTACCCCAAGGGCAGCACCCCAAGCTACGGCTGTCCTGACCCACTCCTGTGCCAACACCCCAAGGGCAGCACCTTAAGCTAGGCTGTCCTGACCCACTTCCGTGCCAGCACCCCAAGGGCTTCTGAGCTCTGATGGGCTGGATTCTCCCATCCCAAATTAATTCCAAGTTCATCTTGATTTTGTGCAAAGCAGCACGGGAACATGCCCTCCTCTACATATCCCCCAGGCCGTCTCTGCAGAGTTGTTCAGTGGCCTACGTGACAGCCTAGAGACAGCATGTGCCACGGATGGTTTGTAAAGGAGAGTAAGGGCTGCACCACATCCATAGTTCTGACTTTTTTAGGGTTGTGAAGCATTTTTCATCTCCCGTGGAAGGCCTAGGTAGGCCCTTCCTAAGAAAAATGTACAGGTTAAGATTTTTGCATCTACTTTCAAAGGGTTTCGGCTCCCCTCCCCCCTCCCCAACAGAACCAACTTCATCCATGGACTGTATTGTTGGTTATTCCAAAGGTCTCAAGCTGAGCACTCTGGAGACATTACATGGGAGTGACTTGGTTCAAAAGGGCTCTTGCAGAGGCCACTGGCCTCCCCTCCAGCTAGAAGCCCGCATGGACAGGTCCCTGGCCATGATGCAGGCTGGGCATTCACCGTCAGGTCTTCTGCAGGAGAGGGAATCTGGCCCAAGAGCAAGCGGAGGGAATCTGCAGGAGAGGAACTACGGAACTGATGCTCTGAAGTGGAGGCTGAGCTGTAGCCTTTCTGCGTTCCAGCCCCACCAAGCTCAGTAAGCAATTGGCCACCCTTGCAGGCCCGCTAAGCACCCAGACTGGAGGTGAAGCAAAGGATTGGTTCAGGTTGGGCCAAGATGGCACAAGGCAAATTGGTCTGCTACCAGTCCCGCCCTTGAAGCATCTTGCTAACCGCGGCGGGGTGTGCTCTGCCAACCTGGGTGGCTGGCTGTCACTTCCACCTCTGCAATGCACCCCAGCTCCAGTGGGTTAGATTTGGAGAAACGTGCAGGGGTGAGACTGTGGTCTTCCATGGGTCTCCTTGAGGGAGTACGGACAGGAGAGCGGTGTTATGGGGTCTCGCCTGCCCCGTGCTCCCCAGCTCAGGATACCCTCGCCTGGAGGAATGGAGAACAGAGCTACTAGCTTCTCCTGAAGAGAATGTAGGAAAAACATGTGGAGGTCTCACAGCAATGTTAACAAGAGCTCAGGCCGCCCTGCCCCTGGCTCAAGTGTGCAAGGAGTCTCTAGGCCTCTAAGTACACGATGGACACCATATATGCTCAGTGGAGTCTGGCCAGGGCAGAGAAACCTTTTCTCCTGGAGCCCCTGGCTCTCACCAGGGCCTGGAACAGGACCGCAGGAAGGCGCAAGGCTTGTCTTGGAGGAAAACACTTGGGGCCCTTGGCCTAGAACAATTCTTTTATTCAAAAACTGCTGGTGTGTGATTTCCTCCTTCCTTCAGCCAGGCCAGCAAACCATCCCTGTCAGGAACTGGCACACCTCCACAGGGTGGGTGCTGTGTAGTAGGGGGGTGCCCAGCTGGGGGGCAGCTGGGAGGGGTGCCAGTGGAGACACCTACCAGAAAGCTGGTTCTGTATCATAAACAGTGGACGGATGCGGAGAGGTGAGGGTGGGGAAGTCAAGACCAGAAACCCCAGAAGGGCCTGGATACCAGCCTGGCAGAGGATGGAGAGAAGGCCTCTTGCCCTGGTTCATGCTGCCTCCTGTTGGCTGCTGCCGCTGCTACATTCTCCCTTCAAATTCTAGCTACAGGGTCCCTATCCCATGGACACTCAGGGCCTGAGAGCCCTGTTGCCCAGGGAGTCAGAATTCTGGCACCTCCGCATGGGAATACCGTTCAGTGTGGGGATACATGGAACATCCAGGCAGGGTTTTCCCACCTCATGATCCATTCACTCACTGAGATTTCCTGAAAACCAACTCTCCACTAGCTCATCTCCAGTTATGGCAAATTCTTGCTCTGGAGGCAGGTCTGTGGGGAGTGGGGTGAGTCTAACTATCCCTACTATCTCACGTGGGTGAGGGCCCTTGGCTTCCCTGGCCAGGCCCACCGGGGTATGCTTGGCATAATGTGCCACATGCCCTCCCAAAGCCCCTGTGGCCCAGCCTTCAAGTCTGTCAGCCTTGGGTTGGTCAGATCAGCCATGTGCCTTCAGATGAATGTGGTGGCAGGTCACACACTCCTGTGAAGGTGAGATCCTTGGAGTGAGGGGCTTGTGTCCCACAGGACTTCTGTGGTCCCAACAATGAGGCCTGTCCCTTTGACACTCCAGCCAGGTAGATTTCCAGGGTCTTGAGTAGCCGCCTTGGGCTCTTCTTGGCCAACACTTCCAAGTCTGGAACAGAGGATTGGAGAAAAAAAGGCTTGAAGGGGCTTTGGACTGCATACCAGTCCAGGCCCAGCAGCTCTAGGGAGCACCCCCAACCCAGACTCTGTGGAAAGAAGGGTGAAGGTGTCTTCTAAGGCAGAGAGCTCACCAGAGAAGGAAGATGAACCAGATAAAGCCACAGCAACCACACATTCTACCTTGACCAGAACAATCTCAACTTTGAATGGTCAGTCCAACTGTTGGACCCAGTTTTTGATTCAGAAAACATGGCCACCAAAGCTCTGAAGCCAGTAAAGAGAGGTAGCAGAGAAAGGAGAACTAGCAGACGCCAGAGGGTGGGCTGATGGAGACTTTGAGAATCTGGAGCTTGAGGAAGTAGGAGTAGGGGGTTTGGAGGAAGGGAATTGCAGCCTAAATGAGTCTAGCAACTACCTTAGTGTCCCTGAACCTGGGGACACTAGTTCAGGCCTCTCCCAGAGAAGCACACCTTTGAGGACAAATCCAGAGTCAGCGATGGTCTTCTGCTGTGTCCTCCAGACGTGTGCGAGGCGGAGGAAGGTGGCGGCATAGAAGCTATTCACCACTGGGATCACCTTTTGCTGTCGGTTACACTCCCTACAGCACAAGGGGGGTGGTGCACTCAGAAGGGAACAAAGGCTGATAGCTGGGTGCCTCTGCCAGCCCGATTCCCCCAGGGAGCCATGCCCCAGGCAGCCTTCACCTCCGAGGCAGGGTTGTGAGACGGGTGCACGGGCTTCCCGGGGAGCTGCAGGTCTCTGGAGAGAGTTGCGAGAATAGGGCAGGGGCGGGAGGGAACCAGGCTCTGCTGGGTCAGCTAGCCTGCAGCCGGGTGTGAACAGTGTGGGGACTCACCTGGAGAGGCACTCCTCCCTTAATGCCTGGATTGCGATGCGGGTGATATTCACAGACATCAAACAGAAGGGGAATTGCTGGAATGGAGCAGGCACAGCGTCAGTGGCAGCCCAGGCTCTGGCCCTCTGGGGCCCGTCTTCCACAACTCAGCAGGGCTGCTGGCAGCAGTGGCTGCCATGGCCCAGAGGCAGCAGCTGACATCTGATGCTTATACTTTTTTTTTTTTTTAAGATTTTATTTATTTATTCATGAGAGACATGGAGAGAGAGAGGTAGAGACACAGGCAGAGGGAGTGCCCCATCCTTCCTATTGTTTAATAACAAAAAAACTAAGAAAATGAAAACGGGGTTTTTTCCCCAGGGTATTTCCATATATTACATGTTAGTTTCCCAAGCACATACCCAAGCACAGCCACCGAGAGGGACACACAGATCAGTGCACTCATTAGTTTAGAACAAGAGCCAAAGTTTATTTATCTCACATGCTTCTCCTAGGAAGAAAAAGCTATTACATTATGATGCTGAACTACGCTGTCCAGTATGATAGCAAGTAGCCTCATAGAACTACTTAAGTTTAAATTTATTAAAAAGTAAACAACACTAGGGTACCTGGGTGGCTCAGTCAGTTAAGCATCTGCCTTTGGCTTAGGTCATGATTCTGAGGTCCTGGGATGCAGTCCATTGTCAGGCTCAGTGGAGAGTCTGCTTCTCTCTCTCCCTTTGTCCCTTCCCTACCTACCTCCAGTTGTGCTCCCTCTCATAAACAAACAAACAAACAAACAAACAAACAAATAAATAATAAACAAAATTAAAAATTCATTCCAAGTTGAAAAAAACCTCAAGTCCTTAGTCCTATTAGCCATATTTCAAGTGCTCAAAAGCCACATGTACTTAGTAGCTACTGTATTGAACAGGACTGATATATTACATTGCCTTCATTGCTAAGTTCTGTCTGACAGCACTGAACCATCCAGGGTCTTCTGGCTCCACAAAGATTTTTTTCCTGGTCTTCCGTGACATCTGGGTTCCAGATCTTGGCCTGGCCACCTACTGGCTTTGTATCCTTAGGACAGCTACCTGAACTCTATGAGACTTAGCTTTCCTGTTTCTTGAAACCAAAAAGGAAGTATCTTTGAGTGCTGTGCAGGGAAGAGTTAACGCACAGGCCTGAGACTGCTGTCCTTAGAAATGTCTGCTTGCAAGGGTGGCCTTTGGCTGGTAGCTGGGAACCTGGATTTTGAGAGGATTCCTACCATTTCATCAGAATGACTCATGCGCCTAAGCTGTTTGTACAAACAATATGGTTTATGCTGAATACCTCTGCTTTTTCTCCGTGATTCTGGAATTTTGGTATGTGCTACACAGATGGTGTCTGCACAGCTGGCCCCCATAAAAACCTTGGGGACTGAATCTCTCTATAGCAAGCTCCCCTGGTTGGCAACATTTCCCATGCTGCACAATTCCATGCTAGAGGAATTAAGTGTGCCTTGTGTGACTCTACTGGGAGAGGACTCTTGGAAGGAAGCCTATTCCTGATTTCCTATGGATTTGTCCCATCCACTCCTTCCCTTTGCTGGTTTTGCTTTTGCTGGACTAAATCATAGCTTTGAGAATGACTATAGGCCAAATCCCATGAGTCCTCCCAGTGAATCATCAACCTGGGGATGGTCCTGGGGACCCTGACACAAGTGACATGCTGGGTGGAGGCAAGTCACTAGCATCATAAACACTCTACAAGTGAGGTTTTATTACCTACAGTTCACATTTTCTCTTATCTCAGGACCCACTCACAGAGTAACTGTCAGAAATCATTTAGATCGCAAATGCAAGATACTAAGGCCAGTGCTGGCCCAAGGAGGTGCTAAAAACTGTTACCATCATTATTCTTGCATCGACATGAGTGACTGAGGTCAGCAGCAACACATTTACACCTTCACGGTCTGCCTACCTACCACTTATCCCTTGTATAAGATTGCCCCTTCTGTTGCCTTTTTTCAGTCTAAAAATAAATATGGGAACAAGAATATGGTAGCGACATAATTAACAGAGGATCTAAACCTAGCGTTTGCTCATTCTCGGGCACATCTTTACCAAGCCCACTTACTAAAAAGCAGTGAAAAACTGGAATTCAGATTTACATGTCTCCTTTTCTTCAGCAGGTCCCTTGGCTCTGAAAAGGGTTGCGGGGAACTGAAATACCCTCTGGAGGTTGTGTTTAGGGAACTGACCAAGGGACAGCAGAGGACACCAGACCCGGACAGTTCTGACTTTCCATTTTTCATTTTTCTTCATCCCTCACATTCAGGCTTAACCATTTTTGAACTCTGAAGCAAGGAAGACTGGATCCTCTTTCATGGTGGTTGCTGACCTTTCCCCCGCCCCTCTTTGGAGGTTCAACCCAGTGGACGGGGTGGGGGCATCTGCATCCCCTCAGGGGACTCTGAAGTCGGTTGCTGGCTGACAACCACTGCTGTGAGGAGCCCACTGCGAGGCCAGCTGTCAGAATGTGGGTCCCAGGCCTAGCTACTCACTAGCTGTATACCTCTCTGACCCTCACATAACTTTGCTGGAAAACAGATTTAAAGGATCACTGCTGCTTTATGTCTTTGCCAGCCTGCCACGTTGGTGGAATGAAACAATGGATGGAAACTGCACACAGAAGGCTATAGAAGTATGAATATGAGTAAGGTGCTTCCTCTCCTGCCAGCAAGGAGCCTGATGTGTCCTGCACCTGTGTCTGTGTTACAACACCACTTCTCAGCATGGCGTGGGCTAAGCACTTCCCCATTGCTGGCATTTGTGGCAGTCTGCTCCGGCAATCATATTTTTTGGCCTTTAGCAGGTACCACAGGGGCCTAGAACTTTTAGTTCTCCCCTTAGGGGAGAACAGGACTGGTTGCTGGCAGGGCTGTATCTCCCAGCTGCTACTCTGACCTCAGACAAGCCTCCTGGAAAATGGTGCTTTCAAGATTCATAAGGGCTTGAGGTCAAATTTGCTTTAAAACCTTGGAATTGCTTATAATTCAAGGAACTATAAAATAAATCTGGAAGGGATCTTAAGAGTTGTTTAGGCCAAGCCCTTATTTCATGTAAGAGCAAACTAAGGCCCAGAGAGGGTAAGTGACTTGTCTCAAATTATAGCTCCATAATAATACTGCACATGGAACTTACATCTAGCTTCCTGATGCCTGTGCCAACCCTCTTACTTTATTAGGTTAAGCTGCTATTCCATCTTATTGTCCGACATGCATGTTGTGAAGTAAATATAAATCCCCAGTAAATCCCACGGAGGCCAGCAAGTGAAGGGATGAGAAACAGACTGGTCAAAGTAGTCAGTCTGGGTCTCTGCCCATCAAGTTCCCAGTACTTCCTCTCTCATCCTGCTGCTCCCTATGTCTGGGATGCTCCTTGATGTCTGAATGGCCTACTCCCTCCCCTCATTCTAGCCCCTCATTCCTTCATTTGTTTTCAAGGAATTCTGAGTTGGTAATAACCCTCTACCCTGGCTTCCATATTTCTGTAGGAAACTCTTATTAGAGAGCCTTCATAAATCACAAGAAGGGAGACATTGAGGTCAGAGATGACCTATAGGAAATACTGGTTAGCTGTGGGATCTTCGACAAGTCATTTTCCTTCTCTAGGCCTCTATCTAAAATGAGGGGCTGGGGATACCTCGGGGGCTCAGTTGGAGAAGCGTCTGATTTCAGCTCAGATCACGATCTCAGGGTCCTGGGGTGCCAGCCCAAAGCCCCTGTTGGGCTCTGGTTCAGCAGGTAGTCTGCTTTCCCCATTCCCTTTGTTCCTCCCCCACCCCATTCATGCCCATGCTCATGCTCTCCCTCTCTCTCTCAAATAAATAAAATCTCAAAAAAAAAAAAAAAAAAAAAAAAAAAAAAAAAAAAGAAAAGAAAAGAAAATGAGGGGCTGGATTGTTGAGGTACTCCTCAACTTCTGGAAGTCTGTTATAATGAAGCAGTGCTACTGCAAGAGACTGTATCATTGCAGAGGCTAACAGGTACAGTTCTCAAACCTAACCCAGACATCTCTGCATCGTGAAGACCACAGAATATGCCCACATTCTCAACTTGTGGGGGCCCAATATATCTCAAGACCAGATGCTCATGAAGTCCTATTCTTGCCTCCTCCAGTGTTTTCTGGAATAGATAGGTGAAGTAAATCCTTAAGATTTATTTATTTTTCTTATTTTTAAATTTTTAAAAAAGATTTTACTTATTTTAGAGAGACAGCATAAGCAGGGGGAGGAGTAGAGGGAGAGGGAGAAGTAGGCTCTGTGCTAGCCCAGAGCCTGATGCAGGGCTTGATCTCATGACCCTGAGATCGTGACCTGAACTGAAACCAAAAGTCAGATAATTAACTGACTGAGCCACTTAGGTGCCCCAAGCCTTAAGATTTAATGGGTGCTTTACCCAAAAAGATACAGAGATACTGAGTAGACTTTAGAAATGAAAAAGTGCCCCAGTGGCAGGATCTGTATGACTATTTGTTTTGTATTCCATTAGTTTTGGATTAAAAAAGAGATCTACCTAAGGTACACACACATACACACACACACACAAATAAATAAAAAGTTAAAATAAGGCAACTACCTTACTAATGGTTGTGTCGTGTGTGTGCTGTATTTTTACTATTGGAAATCAAAAATTACTTTCATAACTGACACTCACCAAAAGACTAGTGCATTTGGCACTTCACATAGTTTATCTCCAATGTAGAATAATTCTGCTGGGTTGAAATTATTTTCCCATGTTACAAAGAAAGAAATGGACATTCTGAGAACTACATAACACGGCCTACGACACCATTACTGCAACAGTTTGTTATGGGAACTCAGGCCTGACCAGCTCCAGCCCTCTCAGGGAAAATGACCTGATTAAAATGCTGCAGATGTGACCTGCAGCCACTTATTCTTGGGCCCCTCTGCCTTAGGCAGTATCTAGGCACACCACCTTCCTGTTGTGTGCGAGGTGCTGCTGGGGCCAGGGCTGGCAAGCCCACCACGACAGACCTCTCCTATTAGAGCTGAGAGTGAGTGAAATCAAAAGTCCTTATCATAGCTTACCAGGCCCTCTGTCATCTGCTCCCTGTTAGCTGTAGGACCTCCCTTCTGACTGCTCTGCTGTGCTCCCTCGGTTCCAGCAGGTTCCCTCCTACCCCTTCATGTGCCAGATGCATTCCTTCCTCAGGACCTTTGCTTTAGCTGCTTCCTCATGTGGAATGCTCTCCCCCAGGTATCATCTGGGCCAACATCTTTACCTCCTTCAAGGTCTGGTTTAACCCACTCTTGCATGAGAACGCCCCATAAAGTACTTCCCATATTCTCCTTATACCCTACTTGTTTTTTCTCCTTAGCACTTACCACTTTTAAACTCTATAATTTATGTGTTAGCCTCACTGCCTTGTCTTCTCTGCTAGAAGGATCTTTGTGGGGCAGCTGGGTGGCTCAGTGGTTTAGTGCCGCCTTCAGTCCAGGGCCTGATCCTGGAGACCCAGGATCAAGTCCCGCATTGGGCTTCCTACATGGAGCCTGCTTCTGCCTCTCTCTCTTTCTCTCTCTCTCTCATGAATAAATGAATAAAAAAAATAGAAAGGTCTTTCCTTTGTTCACTAGTATATCCTCAAGCACTAAGCACAATAACTAGCATAGGGAATAATGAATAGAAATTTGTTTAGTGGATGAATTCCAGGTCCAATACATGTGGCATAGGTGAATGGCAGGAAACAGGGCAGATGTATTTTTCTAAAATGGTGGGACTACCAACTTTTACTACCTGAGAAAACCATTAAACCCAACCCCAGAGAAGGCTTGGACAGACTGAGGGCTACAGAAGCCAATTCTGGCCTGTCAGTAATACCATGGGTCATTTGACCCTCATAGGCACTCTCCTTGAGGGTTAGGAGAACTTACTGGTACTGTTCAAGGGATATCCTCAGAGGGGACAGTGAGTTGACATATTAACATCACAGCTGTGCCTATTGCTTTTGTACACATCTCATTTAATTTTCCTAATTGTTCAGCTGAACAGTCCATGATTTCCATTCTACAGATGAAAAAACCAGGGCTCTGAGGAGTTGAAGCACTTGCTTGAGACCGAGGCTAACGAGTGGTAGAGCTCAGATTCCAGTGCAGGTCAGGCTAGCGGAGGAAGCCTGGTCCTGGTTTGCCTCAGTTGTCCTGAGAGCCCTGAGCAACTAGAGACAGCCCCCTGTGAGGCCCTCCTAGTTTCTCAGGAGCACCCTGCACCCACCGTGGTTCCACAGCCCTCTCCTCTGGCTTTCCAGCAAAACCTCACCTGGATATGGTGACGAGACAGGCGGAAAATCTCCTGGGCCATCAGCAAGGTCTTTGAGTCCATCACCAGGTACAGCAGGTGCAGGAGGGCAAGGAAGCCTGCTCCCCTCAGGTCTGTGGCTGGATTTGCTCCTGTAACCGAGATGAGGAACTGGAGAGTGAGCAATGCCAGAGTTATAGGCAGAATAATGGCCCCTCCAAAGACATCCTTGTCCTAATTCTTAGAACCTATGAGTATATTTTGTTGCATAGCAAGGGGAAATTAAGATCATAGGTAGAGGGGCACCTGGGTGGTTCAGCTGTTCAGTGTCTGCCTTTGGTTCAGGTCATGATTCTCCAGGGTCTTGGGATTGAGCCCTGTATGCTGAGCAGGGAGCCGGCTTCTCCCTTTTCCTGTTCCCCTCTACCCTGCTCATGCTCTCTCTTGTTATCTCTCTCAAATAAATAAAAATCTTAAAAAAAATCATAGGTAGAATTAAGGTTGTCAATCAGCAGATAGAGAGATCATCCTGGATTCCCTGGGTGGCCCCAATATCATCAGAAGAGTCCTTAAAAGTGAGAGGAGGCAGACACAGAATCAGAGAAAGAGACAACAGAACCAGGCTCAGGGAGATGTTATGTTCCTGGCTTTGGAGGAGGAGGAGTGGAGGCAGCCTCTAGAAAGTAGAAAAGGCTAGGGAATGGAGTCTTTCCTAGAGTCTCCAAAAAGGAATGCAACCCTGCTGCGACACTGATCTTACTCCAGTGAGACCTGTGTCAGACTCCTGAGGTACAGAGCTATATGATCGTAAGTTTGTGTTGTGTGGTGCCTGGCTGACTCAGTCTAGAAGCGCATGTGATGTTTGATCTCGGGGTTATGAGTTTGAGCTCCATGTTGGGTGCAGAGATTACCTGAATAAATAAGTTAACTTTAATAAGTTTGTGTTGTTTCAAGCTATGCCAAATTTGTGCTAATTTGTTGCAGCAACAATAGAAAACTAGAAAACTATTAGAGCAGTTATCATAAAAATACCTTTGATAAATAATTAGTTTGAAAAAAATGAAAAAATAGAACATCAGTAAAGAAATATCAGATATAAGGAACAAAATAAAAAACTTAACAACTGAAAAATATAAATAAAATTAGAAACTCACTCGATGGGCTCAACAGCAGGACAGAAACAACAGAGGAAAGAATCAGTGAAATTGAAGATGGAACAACGAAAATCATCCAATCTGTTGAACATCAGAGAGAAAACAAAACAAAACAAAACGAGCAGAGCCTTAGGGATCTAGGAGTTACAGAACAGAGATCCAAAGAAATGAATACAGCTTCTCACCTGTGGAACAGCACAGATCTAGCATCTGTATCATCAGAGTCCCACAGAGAAGAACAAGTATGGGGCTGAGAAAAGTACATGAAGTATTCACTCATATGTGGAATTTAAGAAACAAACCAAATGGACAAAGGGGAAAAAAAGAGACAAACCAAAAAACAGATTCTTAGCTATAGAGAACAGATGGTTACCAGAGGAGAGGCGGATGGGTGGATGGGGAATAGGTAAAGAGCTAAGAGTACACTTATCCTGATGAGCAATAGGAGATGTATGGGATTACTGAATCACTACATAACCATGTGACACTAATTTAACATTGTATGCTAACTACACTGGAATTAAGGGAAAAAAGGTAATAGAAGAACACCTGAAAATGGACCATAGTTGGCAAAAGATCTAAACCTACAGATTCAAGAAGCTAAGCAAACCCAACAGGATAAGCCCAAAGAAATCCACACTAAGACAGCACAGTCAAACTAAAAGGATATGAAAAGCAGAGATGGAGAAACAACTCATTGCCTTTCAAGGAGAAAGAACTCAACTGGCAGTAACTTTCTCACAGAAGCTAGAAGCAAGTAGCAGTGCTGCAGGGCAAGAATGGTTAACCTGGAATTCTCTGTTCAGAGAAACGGCCCTTGAGGAGTGGAGGGGAGATCAAGACATTCTCAGAGCAAAACTAAAATAAAATTTTTTTTAAACTAAAAGAATTAATCACCAGTAGAACTACTTCAAAAAACAGTTAAAGGAAGTTCTTGAAAATGAAAGGAGATGATAAAAGAAGACATCAAAAAGAAAACAGATCAAAGGAAAGAGAAAGCATGTGGGTAAATGCTTTGCTCTTCCTCTTGAGTTTTTAAAATTGTTTGGTGGATGAAATAAAAATCATAATCTTGACATGATTTTCATTGCATATGGAACAAATATTTAAGATAATTATATTACAGATGAGGGGGGAATGAAGGGACTTAACCATGCTGTCAATACAAATGGACTAATCAATCACAGGTACATGAAATTTCCTTTCTAAATGAGGACATTTTCCTATTCCATATAAATGTAACTAGATATGATTTTGAAAAAAGAGTAGCATAATCCCAAAACAGCTGAAATGATTTTGTTTCACTCAAAAAATAAAATAGCATAAAGTAAAATTTTCATCTGTCTTAAAAGGAATGAGGAAAAAGAAAAAGCCAGATTCCAAATCCTATCACTCTGATGCTTTCCATCTCCCTTAGAGTAAATGCCCTACAACTGCCTATAAGGCCACAAGGGACCTTTCCACTTCATCCACACTCCTTGCTATTTCTCAAGCACAGTAAAGATGCTCACCTTAGGGCCTTTGCATTTCCTGTACCCTCTTCCCCTGGATGTCCTGCCTTGGGGGTGCTGGCATGACAGGAAGAGGACTACCTGTGCTCTTCCTCTAGTCCTGGATTCGGATGTCAAGGAAAGAAGATGAACCATTCCTCTTACCCTGAAAGCCCAGATCTTCCCAGTGGTCTCCATGGAGGGCACAGTCAAACTTGGAGCCAGTCAGCTTCTTGTAGATGGTCTGAAGGACTCGGCCATGCATTGGGTCTTGGCTGTCCAGTCCACCTGCTCAAAAACACAACCCCAACTCTGTCAGATTGTCCTCCTCCCTGGGTGGGTTGGGGGGGGGGGCACTGTGAGTTTCTTAGAGAATGGTTCAGACAGGATAGATCTGAACTGTACTCAAGAGACTGTGTTACACTTCCACACTTTCACCCCACAGCTCCCGCTCTCCCCACCAACACGGTACATGCAAGACCTCTGGCTTAGCCTCAGCAACGGGTGGGCAAACAGTGCTCTTTGCTTGACCACATATGCAGCACCTGCCTGATGGCAGCACCTGTGCACTCACACTGAGCAATGGTCAGGACCAAGTCCCTTTCTTCACGGAGGCCCTGGTGGAGCTTCGGAGGCCCGAAGAGGCAGTGCCGGAGGGCAGCAAGCCCAGTCCTTCGAATAGTTGGTTGGATTCTTTTCTGGGGAGGAAGTTGCAGGCAATGGGCGGAGGGCTGAGTTCACCTGCTTTAATGAACTTACCATCAGGACCAGTAAAGGGACTGTTCTAGTAGAAAGAAGAAGCTCCTCAAACTAACTGGCTGGTCTCTGGGCCAGGGAAAGGGGGTAAAAACCCTGAAGCACCTGCTCAATCTCTAGAGACAGGCTCTTCTGGCTCCCAGGATTCTTCTAAGTAGAAAACAGATGTCACCAAGGATGGGCATTATTAGCCTGTTGTTGGCATTTGCTCCTTTGGGCTTCTCCAGAGCTACCTATTCCATTGACTGCCAAGGAGGCTAGAGACGGTTGGCGTAGGGACCCCCACTTTGGTCTGACAAAAGCCAGGCCAGGTTTCCCAGCAGGGCTGCTTTACCTTTTGTAGGTCCGTCTCTCTCTGCAAAGGACATAAAAAAGGACAGAGCCTAGCAGTCCTCTCAACTTCCAGGGTGAGAGAGCTAATGGAGAGGGGAGTTTAGTGGGGACTTTTTTGGAGCTGGATATTTGATGGGTTGCTGGAGCATTCTGTCCATACCACAACCAGTACCTCCTAAACCAGGTCCTGCTGACTTAATTGCACAAGGGCCACTGCTGCAGGTCTTAGAATATTCTGATTTTGGGACGCTCTGGCTCTTTGGGTCCTATAAGCCAACTTGATTTTTACCTTTTCAGCCTCTCTTGAACCAGGTTTTAGGTTGAAGATCTGAAATCATAATCCTCTAAAACTATTCCTCGTCACTCAAGATGCCCCAGAGAGCCTGCCAGCTTTTATTCTCCTCAATGTTTCTTCTTTTTTCCAACTTTACAATTCCCCAATAACTTCTGGTTCCCTGAAGGAATGGATGATTTTCCTATAATGGCCATGCATTACTCAGCTTTCTAGACAGAATGCCTTGCTTCTCTAAGGAACTATCTAGCACTGGATTCCAAACCTCCTCATCCCTAGGAGGGAAAAGGAGGGAGCAGCAACATAGCCCTCTGTGTGACAGGACCACAAGAGCTCTGGGGGCACAGTCCCCAAAGGCCATTGGGGTCCTGCATGAAGCATGAGTCCTTGGCTACCCCTGATTCTGTGCTCCAAGATTTCTTAGGTGAGGTAGGGTCCTCAGCTGGAAGCTTCTACCTTGCTTGCCCAGTGCCCTAACCTGGTGGGATAGAAACCTGGCTCTTAGGACCCCAAACCTCCCTACTTTCATACCTTGAAGGAAGAGAGGTCCACAGTCTGGAAATGCTGCAGGGCCTCACTGAAGGAGATAAGCTGCTCAGGCTGGTCTGTGCTGGCCTGGCTCCCTGTGGCAAAAGGGAGGACACCCTCAGGTTCATAATGGTGGTCATCCTGTCAGCAAACATTTACTCAGGGCCTTCTGGCTGTCGCTCTAAGCCAAACCCGGCTTTCAGTTGCAGACATCAGGTATCTACAACTAAAACCAATCCTCCAACCAACTAAAACCTTCAGGGGGCTGGTATTATCTGCTGGACTGGTCCCCCCTTTAGACCGGGCTGTTCAGAGGCTTGCTAGGCCCACCTCAGGAGTGAGTAGGGACAGATCTGCTGGGCAGGGGGAGGGCCCATTCCACTCTTCTGTGAGGAAGCAAGTCACTGCCTGGAGTAGGTACCCACACAGGAGCATACCAAGGTGTTTATGCACCCTTCCTAACTTCCACTTCGCCCTTTCTCACATCCTGCATACGAATGACCCCCTCTCCATCAGTTAGCAATGTTGGGGATGACTGACACAGCCCACTGTAATGACTTTCCACGTGCTCCAGGAGAGCTCGAGCTAGATATGGGTCTGAGTTCTACCTTCCTATAGCTCCACCCAAACGTTAGAAAAGGAAGTGAGAGATAATTTTTACCCAGTCCTCAGAGCCTTTCAGCAGATGGCTTCAGAGCTTCCAACAGATGGCCCCTATCTCCAGAGACTTCTCTGTATAGTGAACAACCTGCCCACCCTTGGACAGGGAACCTGGCTGCCTGCCTCCATCCTTCGACCCAACCTCATCACCCTACAGAGGCTGACCCTGGCTCAAGTCCTCCCTGTCTTTTCTCAGGTCTGAGTAGATGGCAGCCTTTTCCCCATGGCATTCATTCTCATTTCCCCCAGAGGTAGAATGTCATCATCTTTGGCTTTGGAAAGGTATTTTATTCTATGTCAGGGAGCTAAAATGAGAACTCTCAGGAATTGTTTCCTAATCCCATGGTCACAGAAACGTTACTCGCATACGTGCACGGTGTCTTTATTAGCAGCCGGGCTGTGTGGAGTCAGCGCCATCCTTGTGGTTACCTGTCTCTGCCTGGATGTTGTCCACAGCTTCCCATTCTTCCTGGGCTCCGAGCACCTCTGTACTCACAACTGCAATAGTGAGAAAAGGAGAGCCTCTGAGAACTACATACATCTGGGTTGCCACTGCAGCCCCACACTTGTCTGCCCACCTTGGGTCCCACTGCCCTCAGATACCTGCTCCACACAGCTGCCAGTGATTATTCGGAAAGGCAGTTCTGATGACATCCCCTGCTCTAAACCCTCCAGGGATTCTCCATAACTCTCCAGACAAATCCAAACACGGGCAGGCCAGGTAACTCAGCAGTTTAGCGTGACCTTCAGCCCAGGGTGTGATCCTGTAGACCTGGGATTGAGTCCCACAACAGGCTCCCTGCATGGACCCTGCTTCTACCTCTGCCTGTGTCTCTGCCTCTCTTTCTCTGTCTCTCATGAATAAATAAATAAAATCTTTAAAAAAAAAACAACCCAAAACCCAAACTCTCCAGCACAACCTCTAGATACTTTCCCAGTTTGGATCTTTCTTATGTTTGTAGCTGTGCCCTAGGGCACCCAGAACTCCCTGAACTCTCTCAGCAGCCCCCCTTCTGTGCCTTTGCTCACACTGCTCTCTCCCGCAGTCACCTCAGGTACCCTTACTTTCAGTCAGAACCCTTTGTGCTGTCATTCCTTCTCATCTGTCAGTGACCTCAGCCACCATCCCGCCCCCAGATGTCTTCCCTGACTTCCTTAGGTCTGCAGTGGGAGCCCCTGACACCCAGGCTCATCAGGGTTGTAAGCATCTCTCCCACCACATTGGAAGCTATACAGGGGTTCTCCAGAACCTGACGCGGTGCCTGCCACAGGGTAGATGTTCAACAAATTTCTGCTGGATGAATGAAAGCACCAGAAAAGGGGGAAAGCAGGAGAGAAAAAGCAGCAAGATGGGTTCTCTATAGCCACCACACAGCCCTTTCTCCAAACCACAGCTGTCACTGGCTGGCTCTGTTGACACTCCTGTTGTTGGCTTTTCCCGTTTGCTAGAGAGATCAGACATCATGAAAAAAAACAGGGAGACTTCAGTCTAAGACTCCAAATCGTGACCTCTAGGCTCCAGCCCCAGTAGTAAGAGTGAGAGAGCAGCTCTCTGGGCCATGCAGTCTTGACTGAAGCTATCACAGGGCAATAAACTGTTTTGAAAGTATACTTGGAAATCCAATCCAATCCAATCCTACCAGAAACTCAAAAGACTAACAGAAACTGAAGGCAGAGAAAGTTGCTGGGAAGCCATAGAGGGCTGTTGCTGAGAGCACACTCCAGAGCCAAATGCTGGCGAGCACTTCCTATCTGTGTTCCCCAGCTGCACTTCCGTGAGCAAGGTATATAACCCTGTGTCATCACTTACATAACTGCTGGAAGATGATGTAACTCTTCAGCTTCTGGGGATGGGGTGAGAGGAAGCGAGGAGCAGGTACATGACCCTCAGTATGTGTTAGGTAGTGGCATAGACACAGTCCTGGGTTTGGGTCCAGCAGAGCACTGGATAATGGCAGGAGGTGACATGGGTCTGGACTTCTGGGAAATTCAATCTTGCCAGCTCCAGTCTGGGGTGGACCGAGACCCGAGCCTCAGGGTTCAAACTAGGTAACTTTACCAGGATAGAGACTGCTTGACTTTAGATGGTGAAGAAAATAAAACTTCCTTCCAGTGTGCTTTTCATCTCCCTGGGAGATGAAAAGGAGGGAGAAAGCGGCTGAATAAAGAGAAGAGTGGAATAGCAGCAGGGAGACTGCTCATTATGGCCCTGAGGAGGGCTGCATCACCCCTCACCCTCACTGACGCCTGGCTTCACGGACTCTTCACCCTGCAGGTCCTCATTTTAAGCTACTTGGTCAAAAAAAAATTTTTTTTTTTTTTAATTTTATTTCAGAGAGACAGTGCACGAGCAGGGGGAGGGGCAAAGGGAGAGAGAGAAGCATACTGCCTGCTGAGTGAGGAGACTGTTATAGGGTTCAATCCCAGGAAACAGAGATCATGACCTGAGCTGAAGTCAGATGCTTAGCCAAATGAGCCATCCAGAAGCCCCTCTTTCCTTTTTTAAATATTTGTTTATTTATTAGACAGATGGAATGAGAGCACAAGCAGGGGGTAGAGTGGGGGGTGGGGAGTGGCAGGGAGGAGAGGGAGAGAGAATCTCAAGCAGACTTCCTGCTGAGCATGGAGCTGGATGCAGGGCTTCATCTTATGACCTTGAGATCACGGTCTGAGCTGAAATCAAGAGTCAGCCACTTTACTGACTGAGCCACCCAGGCACCCCTTAACCTTTCACCTACAAACACCTTGGCTGAAGGCTGTGAGCTGGGAGCAGAAACCTCATCAGCATCTGGGAATCTGCTGTGACTATAGGTTAGTCAACAGAAGTACAAGGTCTCAACTAGCAATTGTATTCTGGTACCTAAAAACTAGAGACAAATGTCCAAGGCATAGCAAGAGCACTTCTTCCCTTCCCTCCTGGAACCAGGGAGACTCATCTGAAGATGATCCTGACATAAATACTAATTTCCCCCTAACAGAAAAAAGTGGAGGCAAAACAAATCTTCAGGATAGCAAATGCAGCTCACATTAGCACAGTTCTTTACTTTTCTTCCTTTTTCAACTGTTTCCTTTATTTGGCCTCTCTTCTACTATCTATAGGAAAAACAGCATCACTGAGTTAAGTAAGCCTGCCTGTCTATCCACCTACCTACCTACCTCTCTCTATATACATATTTATTTTATTTCTTAAATATTTATTTATTTGAGGGGAGAGAGGCAGGGAGAGAGGGAAAGATAGTCTTAAGCAGACTCCATGCAGAGCACAGGGCCCAATGTGTGTCAGATCTCACAACCCTGAGATCACAACCTGGGGAGAAACTAAGAGCCCAATATTCAACTCACCATACCACCCAGAAAACCTATTTATTGTTTTTTTAAAAATTTTATTTATTTATTTGAGAGTGAGAGAAAGAGAGAGAGAGAGAGAGAGAGCGCTAGCTCAGGCAGCAGGGAGGGGCAGAGGGAAAGGGAGAAGTAAATTCCCCATGGAGCACAGAGCCCATCGCAGGGCTTGATCCCAGGACCCTGAGATCATGACCTAAGCCAAAGGCAGATGTGTAACCAAATGAGCCACCCAAGTACTCCTCTTTTCTTTTTTAAAGATTTTTTTATCTACTTGAGAGAGAGAGGAGATAGCATGAGCAAGGGGAGGAGAACAGGGAGAGGGAGAGAGGGAATCTCAAGCACACTCCCTGCTGAGCACAGAGCTCAATGTGGGGCTCAATCCCAGGACCCTGAGATCATGATCTCAGCCAAAGGCAGACACTTAACTGACTGAGTCACATAGGTGTCTGTTTCAAAGATTTTATTTTATTTTTTTAAAGATTTTATTTATTTATTCATGAGAGACACAAAGAGAGAGAGAGGCAGAGACACAGGCTGAGGGAGAAGCAGGCTCTACTCAGGGAGCCTGATGTGGGACTCGATCCTGGGACTCCAGGATCACACCCCAGGCCAAAGGCAGGTGCTAAACTGCTGAGTCACCCAGGGATCCCAAGATTTTATTTTTTTAAAAAGTAATCCTGGGATGCCTGGGTGGCTCAGTGGTTGGGCGCCTGCCTCGGGCTTGGGTCATGATCCCAGGATCCAGGATCAAGTCCCACATCGGGCTCCCTGCATGGAGCCTGTATCTCCCTCTGCCTATGTCTCTGCCTCTGTCTGTGTCTCTCATAAATAAATAAATAAATCTCTAAAAAAATAATAATCTCTATACCTAACATGGGGCTTTAACTCACAACCCCAAATCCAAGAGTTGTATGCTCCACCAACTGAGCCAGCCAGGTGCCTCACAAGTCCATCCATTTAAATGAGCTGAGAGCAACGTGGAAGAAAACTCTAATTGTTAACTATAATTAAAAATATGTGGCGTAGGGACATCTGGGTGGCTCAGTGGGTTAAGCATCTCACTTTGGCTCAGGTGATGATCTCAGGTGGTGATACTGAGCCCTGCATGGGCTCAGCAAGCACTCATCTTGGAGTCTGCTTGAGATTCTCTCCCTCTCCCTCTGCCCCTCACCCCTGCATGCTCACTTGCTTGCTCTCTCTGTCTCAAATAAATAAATAAATCTTAAAATAAATATCTGGCACATAAATGCTAGCTGTACTGAAATATAAAATATTTTGGCATTTAAGGCAAAATCTCTCATAAATGTTAGGTTTGTCACCACACAGCAAAGATCAAATTCTATTAGAAGAAACTTCATAGATCTCCAAATAATTTTTCTACATTAGAATATTTTTACAAAAAAAAGAATATTTTTACCAAGCCCCATATTCGTGGAGATTACATTTTCAGTTTGCAGAATTTAAAGATAACAATACATAGCAATGAGCACTCACTACAGATTACAGTCTGTGTGCTAAGCACTTTATCTCAGCTCATTTAATTCTTACACAATTCCCATCGCACAGGTTCTGACATATTTTCTGTTTTATAGATGAAATAAGTAAGGGTTAGAAGGTCAAGAAACTTGCTCAAGTTAGTGGGTCAGAGAGGCAGGACTTAAAAACCAGAGATATGGGACTCTAGAACTGGTGCTTCTCACCTGTGAAGTGGGCCTTTCTGTGTCATAAATCAGCAAGTGAAATGAGCTTTATATACAGTATATGAAAGAATCATGTAGAGCAGATAAAATAGGATACTTTTTCAAAGCCTTTTCCCATACATTGTCTCATTTCATTGTTATAGTATGCCTTTGAGGATAGAGAAGGCATTGATATCTCCACTGTAGACACAGAGATATGATTTGTCCAAGGGCACATAATAAACAAATGTCTCACAGGACTAGATTAGGATTCGAATCTTTTGACTTCTAATCCACTGTTGATTCTAATTTTCCTTGAAGAATGATAAATTTGTAAAATTCTATAGGATAAGTAGTGAGAGAAATTCAAATGATGAAAAGGAGACCATGGGGAGCTCTGACTTGGGTCCCACCCCGACTCCAAGGGCTCTGAAGAGGACCTTACCACCTGGCTCCCATCCTTTTACTTCTGCTGTCAGGGCCTGGAGGATGCCATGGTTCTTCAACTCTGAGATCTGTAGGGGCAGCCGACCTTCAGCGTGAGGGCAAATCCATACCCTCCCATCCACACAAACATGCCCCACCCACTGTACAGAATGTTCTTGGAACTGGTCAGAAGGATGGGTTGACTAAAACCAGTGTTAAAGACAGGCACATTGAAAACTCCAACTCTGATGTACAAGTTGGGTGACACGGGGACAAGCATATGCTCTCCCTGAAGAATAAACAAAAATTCACACAACTCAATTAAGACTGTGGTGTGGTGTGCCTTCGGTATTCCCACTGCACTTTATATTCTGCTTTGTTACCGCAATTATCTTACTAGCTGGAGGTTGTTTTGCAAGTTTGTGCCCCCCAACTCCACCCCTAAGTGTGAGCTCCTACAGGCAGGGTCAGTGCCATCCTGAGTCCTTGGTGCTTGGCACCACAGAGCAGCATGCAACGAAAGCTTGCATTGGCAGGAGGTACTGGGGTGTGGGTGATACATACAGGAATTCCTCTGAAAGCCCGAAGAGCACTGTTGTCCTTGTCATATGGTGGAGGACACCCAGCACACACACTTTCAACCTATAAGACAAAGCAGGGTCAGCTTCTTGGGCACAGATCAGTCCTCTGACATTGACAGCTTAAAAATCACACCTTTGCCTTTTCCCAAAGCCACACACACACAAAAACATGAAATCTCAAGAGCTCAACTATAAGGAATACTGTGAGTGAAAACTTGTTTAATCTAGTCATAAGGAAAACTGCAAAAAGCTTAGTTAATGTTATCTCATATTTCTTGGCTCTGTGAAAGGTCTCAGGAGCTGAGTCAGTGAAGTTTAGTGAGGCAGTTTCCTTACTTTTGGCCTTTCTTTTCAGCTAAACCCTTGCCCATTATGCTTTTAAAAACCACTTGACCAACTTTAAAAAAACAAACAAAACTAAACAAAGAACAAAAAACACCTGATCAACTTCACAACTTAGATTATCAATACGGAACTAACTTTCCTAAGATGTTGAAAAAAAAAATCCTAGAAGTCAGGAAAAGAAACTCAACCCAGTAGAAAAACAGGCATGTATGGATTTGGACAGCTGACAGAAGAGGAAACATGCACTGCTCAGAAACAAATAAAAAATGCTCAACCTTACTTATAATAAGAGACATGTCAAATAAAACGACTCTGAGATAATTGTCTTTACTTATTATATGAGCAAATATCAAGAAGTGTGCTAACATGCTGTGTTGGCTAGAAAACCAAGTGTTGTAACACACTGAAATGTAAACTGTTCCCATCTCTATAACTTGACATCTGATAAAATTACATATCCTTTGCCCATTTTGGGCCTGCAATTGCATTCTAGGAATTTATCCAATTTATCATTTGTGGTAGGACTGTTGTCATAGCAGCAAAAGGCTAAAAAAAAACCTGAATGCCCGCTAATGGACTAATTACACAAAAGCATATTAACTCAATGAGCTTCAACATAGCCATAAAGAATAAGAAAGTGTTTTTTTGTTTTTTTTTAAAGAGATTTTATTTATTTGAGAGATAGACAGAGAAAGTAACAGTACAAGACAGGAGGGGAGGGAGAAGCAGCCTTCTCACTTAGTAGGGAGCCCAACGTGGGGCTCAACTTGAGCTGAAGGCAGATGCTTAACCAACTGAGTCACCCAGGTGCCCCAAGAAAGTGCTTTATGGACAATATGGAATAATCCATATGATATATTAAGTGGAAAAAGCAAAGGGCAGAGTATATATGCTATTTCACCATTTACATACAGGGAGCCCGATGTGGGACTCAATCCCAGGACCCCAGGATCACACCCTGAGCTGAAGACAGACACTCAACCACCTGAGCCACCCAGGCACCCCAAATAAAAATCTTCTAAAAAAAAAAAGGAGATAAGCTACTAGTAAAGGCAACTGACTCAGAGGTGAATCAATAGAAGCTTCTCCTAATAGAACAAAAGCATTATAAGGAGGGTTTTCTCAAAACATTTTAAAGTTCCACATTCTCTTGATGTATCCTCTGTGTTATTACTAATAATAATATATCTTAAACACCTTCCTTCTCAAATAGAAGTGCTTGCTTACCTGTCCATCTCTTAATTCTCTCTCATTATGGAAAGAGCAAGAGTTTTCATTCATGACTCAAAGTCATTTATTCAAGTGAGCTTCATCCTTGGGCTCAGAAAGGAGTTTAATATGTTCTGAGATTAGAAGTATGGGGAGAGCCAGAGGTCCGATTGCTCTACCTTTGCCTTCTTTCTTGGCAGTCATTCAGGCTAAGAGTAAGTAAACAGTCCCTATGTGCCATCACCAGGGTGTGTCGGAGGTTTCTGAGTACTAAAAGGAATCCCTGAGGTCTCTGAAGTCTCAGCCCTGTAAAAAACAAAACAAACAAACAAACAAAAAAAAAAACAAAAAACAACATACACAGACACACATTACAAATGAAAACTAGTTTCATCATTCAGTTAAGCCTCTGTTAAGAAAAACTGACTTTAAAAATCTTTAAGTAGGGGCACCTTGGTGGCTCAGTAGGTTGAGCATCCAGATCTTGATTTCAGCTCAGGTCATGATCTCAGGTTCCTGAGATGGAGCCCCCAGTCAAGTAGGGCTCCGTGTTCAGCGGGGAGTCTGCTTATCTCCCTCCCTCTACCCCTCCCCCTGCTCACGTGCTCTATCTAAAAATAAATAAATAAATCGTGAAAACAAATAAAAATCTTTACGCAGCTGTAAATTTATTCTGAATAAATCAGCTGCTTTAGTCAAATGCCTAACTCTTACTACCCATGCCACTGGATGGAAAGAAGGGGAATCCTCTTTGGGTTGGATTCTCAATGTCCAGAAGACAGTGGCACCACTGTTAAGTGGTGAGGTCTGGTTCTGACAATGAAGTCACTGGGATCTGGGGGCAGCTCTTATCAAAGGCATGAAGCTAATGGGCGGCATCCTGATGGGTGGTCTTAGCTGAAGTGCTCAGGCTTTGCTTAGGCATCAGACACAGATTGGGTCTGGGCTTATAATACTAGGCCTGGTTCCTAGGATGATAGAAAATAAAAAATGCAACACATTGCCTAGCCTTCCTCACAGTGAACACCACTATTGCACATGTTGCAGCTGTTTAGCCAGTTTGGCTAACTCTAAGACAGTCATCAATATGAGGCCACTTTGGGAGGAGGGCTGGACAAGTCCCTAACTTATCATGTACATCATGGATACCTGTTATAACAAGTCTGGATCATAAGCAGGTCAACAGCCCATACACAAATGACCATCATGTTTCACAGACTTGGGTAACTTAGGGAGGAGAGTGGCCTCTCTTTGGAGTTAGTCTACAACGGTGGGAACATGATCTGGATTCCTTAAGAACTGGCTGCCAGTAACAAACTGGAATCTTTGTCAGGTGGCAGGATGCAGTGATTCCTAGCACCCAGAATGGGAATATTTCCTGGCTATTGGGCTGGACATTTGGGTCACTGTAATTTAGTGGGGAGGACAGTGCTCCTTGGTCATGGTACCTCAGGAACAAGCTCTCTCTCACTGTGTCCTCTGGAGCCTCAGCATCTGGTTCCCTTTTCTTTCCTTCCTCCTTGAGCTTCATAACAAAACATTCACACATCAGCCAACCTTGGGAAGGTGACAACAGGCAGGTGTGGCGCCAGTGATCTCAGGAAGCCTCTTCTGTTTCTGCATATAAAATAAATCAAGCAGTGTAGTAGTATGACCAGCTTTACACACCTGCTAGTGCCTCAGTTCCTGGCACTACTGGAGCTCTGGGGACTTCAACAGGAACACTTCCTATCTGTATCAGAGAAAGAAAAGAGCAAAAAACTCATCAAATAAGCCAGTAATGGAAGTTATAAAGTCACTCCCCCCATTAGGCAAGTTCCTTATAGTCGGGCACAAAGAAATGGCCTTCCCATAAAGGATGGGTCCTTTTCAAATGAAGTATTCAGGCAAGGAGCTACAGTATAAGGGGTATGATTTTCAGACCTCTTGCTGGAGCTCAACTCACCGAATAGGCATTCGATCCAGAAACTGGGTCCCTAGTTTAAATACAAATGCCCTCAGAGACCTGACAGTCCTTCTCTGACCCTTCCATCAGGCTTGTCGCGGGGCCGCTCCCTGTCCCCCACTGCCCTCGCCGAGGGGAGAGCCACGGGGGCCCAGCCGGAGGTTCGGGGGCGCCGCCAGGACCCTCCCCGCCCTCCCGCAGGCCGCGCCATCCCGGGCGGGCGCCGTGGCCGCGGGCGAAAGGACTGGCCGGTGCTGGCCGGCCGCGACGCGCGGGTCTCAGCAGGAACCTCACTCCGTCGAGGGGCCCCGCCAGACTGGGGCTGTGTGGATTCCGCGCGGAAAACGCCTCACCACCTGGGGCGGAAAACAGGTAAGCAACTTGCCTCGGGTCACGCGGCGAGCCACGGCAGCGCGCGGACCAGACGCCAGGCCTCGCGGGCCCCGGGCGGGATCCTCTCTCTAGCTTGGAGCTCCCGGCCTCGCCTCAGCCCGGGGCGACCATCTCCACGTAACGCCCGCTCGGGGCGGGCGCCCCGCCAGCCTCGGCCCAGAACTCCCGGGCCCTGCGTCGGGCTCAGGCCGCCGCCGCCGCGCCTCCCCGCGCGTGCGCACCGCGTCCCCGCGCCGCCTCCCGCCCCGCAGCGCCCGCTCCCGGCCGCCGGGCACGCTCCGGGGGCGGGGCGAGCCGCCGGGAGGGTCCTGCTTCGCCGAGCCGCTGGCTTCCGGGCTCAAAGGTTCTGGCTCTTCAGTGGTCGAGGCGGCCTCCGCCTTCCCCATGCCCCGCCGGGAAGGGCACTGAGGCGCGGCGGAGTCCTGGCCGCAGAACCCGCCATGTGGCTTTGGCTGCTGCTGACCGTTCCGCTGCTGCTGGTCTTCTGCAAAAGGCACCTGCTGCTGTCCGCAGGCAGAGCCCCGAACCCCTTCTCCGAGGACGTCAGGCGGCCCCCCGCGCCGCTGGTAACCGACAAGGGGGCCAGGAAGAAGGTCCTCAAGCGAGGTCAGTGGGAAGGGACCTAGGCTCCAGGGCTGCACTCGCGGGCTTGCATTCCCATCCCTGCCGGGCGAGCCACTGCCCACCTGGGCCTCAGTTTCCCCATATGTGAAGTGCTGGGAGGGCTTCCTTGCACGGGGAGGCGCCCCGCTTTATTGTCTGTTACCTGTGAGCGTCTACGCCCTGGCGACCTCGGACCATAATGGCCGCCCCACTCGCGAGGTTCCGCCCTGGGTATCCCAGGGTCATGATATAGCCAAGAACACAGCCTGCAGAAGAGACAAGAGACCTTCTCCTATTTGGTTACAGGACCTTAACTACCCTCCACCACGGTTCAGGGGCATGGAGGAGCTGCACCTTTCTTCCAATCTCCCCCCCCCCCTTTTTTTCCCCTTTCTTTCAATCTGTGTGGGAGATTGTATTTTGTCATTTAGAGATGATTTGACTGGTTATGCCTCCTCCCGAATCATGTGGTTGAACCTTGGTTCTAAAACTTTGGGAGAGCTTCAACAGGATGCCTCAGGCTCAGAGCTGCTCCTTGGTCAACTAGAGTATCTCCACTGTCAGCTTGAGGACATATTCTGGGGTTTCTCCTAAGGTTTAAAGGAAGAGTTCTGCTGCTTTAAAAAAAATTAGGGGCACCTGGGTGGTTCAGTCAGTTAAGCGTCTGCTTTGGGCTGGGGTCATGATCCTGGGATCCAGCCCCATATCCAGCTCTCTGCTCAGCGGGAGAGCGGATTCTCCCTCTTCCTTCTGCTGTTCACCCTGCTTGTGCTCTCTGGCTTGCTTTCTCTCTGTTAAAAAAAAAAAAAAAAATCTTAAAAAAATTAGATTTCCTCTTTGATCTCCAAGGTCCCTCCCACTTGTAAATTTTAGAATTCTGTGTGACACATCTTGTGACAGAGGCAGAGACAATACTGTTTTAAATGGAAAGACTGTATAGTCTGAACTTCTGAGATCAAGGTTTTAGCTTGGACTCTGTCACTAATTTACTCTATAACCAATTAGCAAGTCACTCCACGTATCCGGGGTTGGTCTAAAACTGAGATGACTAGTTTAAGTGTTTTTCAAACTAGGCTGTGGCCTATTACTAGTGGGTCCCGGCCATAATGAAATCGATTTAGTGGGTTGCATTTCAAAATGTGGTAGAATAGAAAATATCAGAGTCATCATACTCGTTCTGGCATACTCGTTCTGGCAAGTATTTGTATTGTGAAACTTCTATTTCATGTGTTTATATTATATACTTACGTATATCCTGGGTTGTGATATAAAATGTGCTTTTCTAGAAATGTCTGAAAAGTTTTCCGAGTTCCTTTGCGGCTTGAAAAACTCCACATTTCAGTTCTTCAGGAGTGATCTTTATTTATTTATTTATTAATATACTTTTTAAAATTTATTTACTCATGAGAGAGACAGAGACACAGGCAGAGGAAGGAGCAGGCTCCATGCAGGGAGCCCGACGTGGGACTCGATCCTGGGTCTCCAGGATCACGCCCTGGGCTGAAGGCGGCGCTAAACCACTGAGCCACCCGGGCCGTCAGGAGTGATTTTTTTTTTTTTTTTTTTTTTTTTTTTTTTTTAGGAGTGATCTTTAAAGAACAAATGTGTTGGAAATGCCCTTGTAGCGCCATGTGCTGTCCAGGTTTATCTTGCTTAGGTGCTGGATCCTTAGTTCTTCCTCTAGACTTCCCAGATATGAAGGGGTGGTGCTATGATTTCTCATCTCTGTTCTGCTCAAGCCTCTGCTTCAGGGTTTTGAAGAACCATCATAGGACCAGGTTGATCCCCTGGTGCCAACAGAACCTGTAATTTCCAAAGAGAACAACCTTGTGAATGGACAGTTCCATGAGCCGGCAGCCTCCCCACAACACTGTCTTCCGTCCTTCATCTCCTTGGTTTCTTTCTTTCCTAGCTCTCCATTTGCACTTAAGTTTCTCATCTCGTATTATTGTCAGCTTTCTGGCTAGTGGTTTGCCGATGACTGCTTTCTTTGATAGTAGGGTAAACATCCCCAGGTTCATATTGGTTTGAGTAAATCAATCCAGAGTAAATCATATCACTGTCTTTAGTCTTTCTGGCTGGTCCTGAGTATTTTCCAGGCTAATTGTTTGAGTTAGTTGCTCCATGCCAAACTCTATAGAGTTTTCTTGCAGTGTATGAGCTAGTGGAGTCTTCCTTGGTTTCCATCTCTTTGCTCTCTTGCTGCCCTTGCTTGAGAAGCTCACGTTCTGTTTTTTTCCCTCTGGGGTAGCTTTCTCAGCCAGCCGAGTGCCAGAGAAGCTGGATGCAGTGGTGATTGGCAGTGGCTTCGGGGGCCTGGCTGCAGCTGCGATTCTGGCCAAAGCTGGCAAGCGAGTTCTGGTGCTTGAACAACATACCAAGGCAGGAGGTTGCTGTCATACTTTCGGACAGAATGGCCTTGAATTTGATACAGGTAAGGTTTATGTGGGAAGGGGTTGGGAGCATGGCTGTATCTTCAGGAGGCTTGGGGTAGCCATTGTGGGATGATATTGGACATTTCTATTGTTTCGGAGGTACCACTTTCTTTGACAGCTAGAAGCACTGGGAACCAAATTGGACAAAGATGTGATAGTTTCTGTTGCGACTCCTCCCCACAGAAAGGGTTGGTAGCCTCCTCTAGTCATGGATTCAGCCCTGCAGGACTACCACTTTCACCTTGGTTCCTTATCTACCTTTCCAGGGGTCAGTCCCCTTATCCCTATGACACCTTGTTTTTCTGTCTCCCAATAGGAATCCATTATGTTGGGTCCATGCAAGAGGGCAACATTGGCCGTTTTGCCTTGGACCAGATCACTGAGGGGCAGCTGGACTGGGCTGCCTTGTCCTCTCCCTTTGACATCATGGTACTATTAAGTCCCAATGGCCGAAAGGAGTTCCCCATGTACAGTGGGAAGAAAGCTTACATCCAGGGCCTCAAGGAGAAGTTTCCCCAAGAAGAAGCTGCCATTGACAAATATGTAAAGCTGGTTAAGGTAACCGGGACATGCTGAGGACCCCCTGTTTATCCCTCACAAGGCTGACCTTCTTCATTAGTGGAGTGACTGGTGGGTGAGGCAGGAGAGGAGGAACAGTGAAGTCTGCCCTGAGTTCAACCCCTACCCTTAGTTGGCTTCTGTGGCCAGCTAGGCCCTGTCTTTGGAGCCTGGACCCGGCGGCTGCCACTCTCACTCTGGCCTCTGGGGGGCACTCAGTTCTCCTTTTTGATAAGGCTGCCTTCTATGTATGTGGTTAGATCACACCCTTTTTTAACTTCTTCTAAGATCAGATGTGATTTTTCAAAAAGAATTTGAGCAGGAAAACGAAGAGCAGAAAATGACTCATCTGAATGTGGAATTCAGGAACAATTCACAGAGTACAGATTTTTAAACATCCAAGTTCAGCCAGGGCTAAGTAGTCCTGGGCAGTGGTGCTGGGCCCCGGTGCTGGGCTGGTGTAGGTTATAGAATGGGGATTCTGTTACAGGGGTTCTAGAGATGGGACCGGTTCTCACTGCTCATTTTTTTCCCTCAGGTGGTGTCCTGTGGAGTCATCCATGCCATCTTGTTGAAGATGCTCCCGTTGCGCATAGCTCAGCTCCTTGGCAAGTGTGGGCTGCTCACTCGGTTCTCTCCGTTCCTTCGTGCATCCACCCAGAGCCTGGCTGAGGTCTTGCAGCAGCTGCCAGCCTCCCTGGAGCTCCAGGCGGTGCTCAGCTACATCTTCCCCACTTATGGTGGGTACTGGCCTTGGGTCCTAGGCAGCCCCTGGAGGAGGCACAGCTCTCTTGGCTCTCAATCTTTCTTCTTGAACCTGCTTGACTGACTGAAATGGAGCAGGATATACCCAAGGCCCTCTGGAGCTTATGGATGAGAAGTCTTTCCAACCTACTGCCGGACTCCCTGGTAAAAATTTCCTTCATCCATGTCCTGGATGGCTTTCCTTTTCAACCAACAATGTCCTCCCTCATCTTGGCAGCATGGAACTTTGCAGGGAGGACATTCCCCCTGGCTCCAGGATCTGTAAGGTACCCTATGTTTGGATAGAAACAGGCCTCTGGCTGCCCTAAGCCCTGGGGCTCATTTGGGTCCGAGAGATGGGTAGACTTAGGCTGCGGGCTTTTTGGCAGGAATGTGTGTTTCTTTCTAAATGGTGCTGCCTCCTGCCTTTGTCTCATCACCCCTTCCTTCCTTCTGTAGGTGTGACTCCCAGCCACAGTGCCTTTTCCATGCATGCTCTGGTGGTTGACCACTACATAGAAGGGGCCTTTTATCCTCGAGGGGGTGCCAGTGAAATTGCTTTCCACACCATCCCTGTGATTCAGCGGGCCGGGGGCGAGGTCCTGACAGGTGCCACTGTGAGGAGTATCTTACTAGACTCAGCTGGGAAAGCTTGTGGTGAGAGCCCTGCATCATACTTCATGGTCCCTGGGCTGGCATGGGACAGAACTGGGGTATGGAGAGAAACAAGCACGAGGTGGGAGAAGAACAGTCCTCACTAGGAGTTCAAGGCCGAAACTACCCAGAGCAGGGGCTCTGGGAGAGGGATGAATCTGGAGGTAGAAAGGATGCAGGAAGGATAGAAGATTGCCCCAAAGAACAGTATATAATCATTTAGTCACTAGGTAAAAATAGTTATCCAGTAATCCATGACTTCCTTGAATATAGGGGCTGTGTCTCTGTAATCGTTATGTCTGTAGATCCTAGCACATAATGGAGACTCAATATGTGTTTGTTCAGTGATGGATGGAATGAATAAGTACCCTGGGCACTCAAGGGCAGTGTAGGCCAGCAAGATGTTCTGCCCTCAATCTCTAAATGGCAGGTGGAGCCAAGAATCTCATTATCCTGGCTCAGGTCTTTTTTTTTTTTTTTTTTTAAAGATTTTATTTATTCATTCATGAGAGACACACACACACTCAAAGAGAGAGAGAGACAGAGAGAGAGAATGAGAGAGAGAGAGGCAGAGACACAGGCAGAGAGAGAAGCAGGTTCCATGCAGGGAGCCTGATGTGGGACTCGATCTCGGGACTTCAGGATCATGCCCTGGGCCAAAGACAGGTGCTCAACTCCTGAGCCACCCAGGCGCCCCTGGCTCAGGTCTTTATTGCTACCTCACAGTCAAAATCTACTGTGGATGAATGCTGTGAGGAGAGGGTGTATGAAGGGAAGGACTCCAGTAGAAAGAATGGACAGGCCATCCATGACTAGAGACAGGCCGGAGAGGACAGGAGTGATGTGACAGTGAACTCACCAGAGGAATCTTGCAAGGAGAAGGATGTGAAGGGATGGTCCAGAATACAAAAAAACTAAGGGAGAAAAGGCCAGCAGCGATCTCTGAGAATGCATTTGTAGAAGAGACCAGGAAGTTGGCAGGTGATAAGGGAAAGGGGGCTGTCAGTTGTGGGAGATTTTCTCTGATGTCCAGAGCAAGTTCTCCTTCAGGCCAGAAGAGGTCCATGAGGCAAGGTGGATTAATCAGTTTAATTAGTTCAGAATATTACTTGTATTTTTCAGGTGCTAGGTGATAAAAGATGGAGATAAAAACATAAGATGGCTACAAAGAAAATCTGCAACTCAAGAAGTTTCTAGCCTCATAGGGAGGATCACTGAGATATAAAGTGTTAGGTAGAGACATATAAAGGGTGAGAAGCTAGCCCAAGGTTTTGGGCTGTTACTACAGGCAAAGGGAACAATATATAAAGGTATAGCTGTATGAAAGAACTGAGTATTTTTAGACATCCAGAAGTAGTAGTTTGAACCCTAAGAAACTGCCTTTTTTAAAAAAAGTAGGCTCCAAGCCTGGCGTGGAATGCCCAACGTGGGGCTCAAACTCACAACCCTGATATCAAGATCTGAGCTGAAATCAAGAGTCATATGCTTAACCAGCTGAGCCACCCAGGTGCCCCAGAAACTGCTGTTTTTATAGATCAAAATGGTTAAATAGCAGCTGTTTCATATGGTGCCACCTAATCGTTTAGTGAGTGTGGCTGGAGATGGGGCTGGAGACCTAGAAGGGCCCAGACCTTAGAAGGCTGGTATAAGACTTTGGAGTTTATCTTACAGAGGTTGTGGTGTCATCAGAGGCTTTCAGAGTGTTTTGGAAATGGAAATATGGCATCAGGGAAAAAGGTCCTGAGATTCCAGTGAAAGGGCTTCTGCCCAGGAGCTTTGTCAGTGTTAGTATGGAGGTTGTCAGGTTAGGCTAAAGGGCACCCACATGGGATGAGGAGAGAGCCAGGGAAGGAAAGTATAGAAGTGACTTGGGATAAGTGGAGAGTGCTCAAAGATGTCACACTCGCTTTGCAGTTTTGCCTGGAGCCTGCCTGCTTGGCCCTAGGTGGGCTGAATGCCCAGGTCTGAGAAAATGCAGCATAGGTGGGGAGAGATCTGTGCAAACTCTGGGCCTTTCTCTTCCTCCTGGAGTGCCCAGAACCTCAGCCAAGCTCTTGTGCCTGCAGGTGTCACTGTGAAGAAGAATCAGGAGCTGGTGAATATCTATTGCCCTATTGTGATCTCCAGTGCAGGACTCTTCAATACCTATAACTACCTGCTGCCAGAGAATGCCCGCTGTCTGCCAGGTAAAAGATTGGGCTGTGTTGCTCTTCCAAGCTCCCAACAGTGCCCCTCTGGGACTAGCCTGCCCAGCCAGGCTGGTGCTCTTGCTCTTCTTGACTGTTCTGTGACTGTCTCTAAGAGAGCAGATGAGCACGAGCATGCTGTATCCAGCATCTATCTGTTCCCAGCGAGGCCTCTGTGTTTGGGGCTTGAGAAGCATCCTCAGTCTTGTATCACCCCCAGAGACCCCTTGGTCCTTATGTCTCATTCCATTCTTGGCTTATTTACTCTCTTTCCCCCCATAACTTCACCCACTTTGCCCTCTGGCTTTCAAGTCTCCGTTCTAGGGTGCCTGATTGCAGTTTCCTCAGATGATTCTTAAATCATCTCTCTAATAGTTTTTGATGGTGGGTAGCATCCTAAAGGAATATTTCTTGGGTTTTCACTAAGTTTGTGGTATGAATCTTACTTTTTTCCTTAATTTCCCACTTACTTTGAGTGGGAAAGCCTGGTCTGACATTATCAGTAAGGGAAGCTAAGGCTGACATGGAGAAGAAAGTCTTGCTATAATTGTTGGATCTCAAATAAAGGGAACCAGTTCCTTATTGGGGCTGAGGCTACAGGAGTACCCTTCTGGCTTTCTTCTGTCCCCTGAGTTCTGGGATTCTGCTTGAAATCTGACAGGAATAACACTCAATGCAGTCATCTCTTCTGATAGGCTGTGTCAAAAATATAGAAGCCTGATTTTTGTGGTGAGGGGGCAGTAGGCATATCTGTAGGCGAGCCCTTCCTTGGTGAAATCTTTGTGGGAGGCTTTACCTTTGTCATTGCACATGATCCTCATTGCCACCTAGGAGAGAGGTGTCATCATCCTAATGTTTATGCAGGAGGTGAAGTGAAGTGACTTCCCAAGGCCACCCAGGCAAAAGTAACAAAGCTAAGGTGAAAACATTGGTGTGTTTGACTTGAAAGCCTGGGTTCTTGGCCCCTTCTGGACTAAGGAACGTGGAGCTCCCAGAGAAAAGTCCTCACTAAAAGGGGGAGAAGAGCTGGCCAGCCTACATAGAACAGAGTAGCTGAGCCAGAGTCAAGTAAGAGGTTAGCACTTTGGAATGGACTTTAGGTTATCATGTAACTAGAAGCTTCTGGTATGATCTGAGGACAGGCCAGCTGGCTGGGAGGGGACTCATAGTCCAGGAGGGTGAGAAGGTTCTAGATAACAGCCTCTGGCTAGAGTGGGAGGTGGAGAGTGAGGAACAGCTCAGGATATGGCTGGGGTGGAGCCCAGAGAGCCATGGGAGGGAGCTCTCCAACTCTAGAGGGTGGGCCTGTGGCTGCTCAGGGAAGAGATGCTGGGGAAGGTGGGCAGCAGAGTGGGTTCCGTAGGGAAGTGACGTCCCGGGTTTCCTCGCTGGGGAGAGGGTGGGTGGCAGTTGCGATGGTCTCTAGGGTATGAAATGCATATGACCAAAACCAGCCTTCTCATCGTTTTGCCTTACTTAGCTGGGCCTGAGCCGACATCCGCTGCCAGCTAAGGTCTCCCATCCCTCACACTGTGTGAGCTGAGTGGGGTGAGGCAGATTGGCCAGTGACAGGGCAGCTGGGCAGGACTGTACGACTGATAGACTTTGCCTTTGGTACTCCCTGCCTCCCTATCTCCTCAGACCTCTGAACCCTGGCCCTGTCCTCTAATGGGTCCTGGTACCCTCCCCCGCTCTGTGCCTCCTTCCCCTGGCAGCCATGTTACCCTGCTTTCTGATCCAGTTAGTTACAAAGTTTACCGCTTTTATGTATCTTATCTAATGGCAGCAGCCCTGTGTGGCTGAAAAACCAATTGCCCCACTTGGGTGGGGAGTTGGATGCTGCTTCCGTGAATCCCACTTTGAGAACATTTCAGGCAGTGGCAGTGATGAGGCAGGCTTAACCAAGGAGACCCCAGGTGCTGAGACCCCTTTGTTTCCAGCTGCTTTGGGGGTGGAGTTTTCATGGGTCTGTCTCTTTCTTGGAGACAAATGAGAACCAGGTATCTGGTGGCCTCTGGGGTAGGCAGTGCCTGTTGGCATCAAGCGTGGAGGTGGGGTGGTCAGGCAGAGGGAGCCTGTGTGAATGGGAGCACTTTTCTTAATTCCACAGCTGAGCCTCGAGGAGTCTCCTGGGGATGGTCTGAAGTGGAAGTGTTTGAGTGGGGAAGACTGGGCTGACAGTATCAGTAAGGGATGCTAAGGCTAGCATGGAGAAAAAGCGCCTTGAAATATCATTGTGTGCCTTATTTGGGACCCAAGGTTTTAATTTTCTGCTAGGTGTGCGGTTCCTGTAGCACATCCTTCTATTGGAGAAAAAGGGGAAGGAGGGGCTAGGTGCTATTCTAAGGGCCTCTAAAGCCCTAGAGGGTTCACTCCAGGGCCTCCCCCCTTCATCTTCTCCATGACCACCCCCACCCCAGCTGGAGAGGGGGAGCAGGCAGTGAGATTAACCCTGGAGGCTGGGATGTAGGCCACGAGATGCTCTTGCAGCTCCAGGGCAGCACCCCTCCTTCCCTCATAAGTATGCTCCACAGCCGGCTGCTCCCCACCCCACCCATTCCAAGTGTGCTCCACAGCCACTCACCTGTGGATCTTCCACTTCCAGTCCTAGTGCAACCTCGTTTTACTCCCAGAAGTTGCCTGTTTTGCAGGATAAATTCTGTGGTTACCCTATATGTAGCACTTTCTTTGTAGCCTCTATGAGGAAAGCCAACTTTTCAGGAAAGGTTCTTTTCTGGTAGACAGGCATGATAGCTGATCCCTTTAGCGTCCCCAAGGCCTATAGAGGATTATGCACATTTTAGGTCCTCAACAAATACTTATTAAACAAATGAGACAGAGCAGCCAGTGGCCCAGTCACCCTTCAGGCAGGTAATGGTCCTGGGAATGAGAACGAAGGATAAGACTTTGTAGAAGCCACTTCCAGATTGGTCTGGGGTCATTTGTTGAGAGGTGGGGAAGCACCTCTCAGGTGCCGCTTAGGACCAGGGGACATCAGATGGCTCTCAGAGAGGCTGTCCCCTTCCTCCATACTGTTCTTCTTCCTCCTCCCCTACCTGAATCCTAAAGTGCCAGTAATGCTGTGTGCATTTATTCATCCGCATCACTTACCATTTTGAGGTCTTGTACTCACATTAGGAATTATGCATATTTATTCATTAGATGGCTTGTATTAAATGTAACACAGAAATCAGGCTTATAGCAAACTACTGTTCATATGCGTGGTATGTATGGTGGGGAGAGCCCAGGAATCCGCTCCTAACTTAAAGCCATCAGGGGAAGAGGGGAGGCAGCGACCCTGAGACTGTCCTGCAGAACAGCCAGCTTAGGGAAGCTGGGCCTCCCTGGGTTCTAAGGGTGCTTAGAGCAGACGTGGGAGGAGACAGAAGAGTAGGGTACCTGAGGTGTTCTTCTCAGGCAGGAGACCAAAGAGCAGACCCCGGCCAAGTCAGTGTTGTAGCAGTTGTAAAAATGGCCCCGGGTGCTAGGCTGGCCACCGAGGGTAAGGCTGCACATAAAGTGAGCAGGCGTCAGCAAGTTCTGGGAGTGGCCACCTCAGCCACAGTTCACGCAGCCCTGACACTTTGGCAGGTGTGAAGCAGCAGCTGGAGATGGTGCGGCCTGGCATGGGGGCCTTCTCCATTTTTATCGGCCTACGAGGTACCAAGGAGGACTTGGGTCTGCAGTCCACCAACTACTTTGTCTGCTTTGACACAGACCTCGACAAGGCGTAAGGCGTGTGTGCATATAGAGGGAGGAGGGGTCAGCAGTAGGGCTCTTGCTTCCTCCCTTGACGCTGGAGCCTCAGCAGCAGGATATGAAATAGGCCTTGGCTTCATCCCTCTGGGGGAGGGAGTGCTCCCTGGGGGTAACCTATCCTCGGGGCAGTGCCAGGGAGTGAGGCATGGGGATGGACAGCCATGCTTATCACCCCCAGGATGGAGCACTATCTGTTGATGCCCAGGGAAAAGGCTGCAGCACACATGCCCATCCTCTTTATTGCTTCTTCATCAGCCAAAGATCCCACTTGGGAGGACCGGTTCCCAGGTGAGGCTTTCGGTCCTGGAGGTGGGGGCTGGAGCAGGGACGGGGCCTGGCAGTAGTAAACTTGGCTCTGTGTCCCCAGACCGGTCCACAATGACTGTGCTGGTGCCCACCTGTTATGAGTGGTTTGAAGAGTGGCAGGAAGAAGCAAAAGGAAAGCGGAGCAGCGACTATGAGACCCTCAAACACTCCTTTGTTGAAGCCTCTCTGTCGGTCATCATGAGATTGTTCCCACAGCTGGAGGGCAAGGTAGGAGGGCAGACTATGTGATAGTGGCAACAAACCTTTTGGTGACATTTCTTTTTCTTTGGGGGAAGGAAATAAAGCCCTGAGATACCTCTGCTCCATGGAAGGGCAGGGAACCCATGCAGACAGGCAGTTTGGTCAGGGAGATCAGAAAAGGGAGGAGAGGAGGATCTCACAAGGCCCCACTCCCACCCTTTGGCTGCCTTTTTGTCTTCTCAGGTGGACAGTGTGATCGGAGGGTCCCCGCTGACCTACCAGTTTTATCTGGCTGCTCCCCGGGGTGCCTGCTATGGGGCAGACCATGACCTGGACCGTCTACATCCTCATGTGATAGCCTCCCTGCGGGCCCAAAGCCCCATTCCCAACCTCTACCTGACAGGTACACTGACTGCCTCATTTCTCCAGGGCCTGAGACCCTAGGGTTCCCTGTCACACAAAGTACTCTGTTCTGGCCTCAGGTCTGTCCCCTGCAGTCTTCCAAACAGGGATGGGCTGCCCCAGCAGGCTATGGACCCCGGTCCTGATCTAAAGTCATCTTGGTCTAATGAACATGAGAGCCCTTGTTGCCTACCCCCTCTTTGGGAAGATGCTCATAGGGCCCTGTTGTTGTCTCCTAGGCCAGGATATCTTCACCTGTGGGTTGATGGGGGCCTTGCAAGGGGCCCTGCTATGCAGCAGTGCCATCCTGAAGCGGAACTTGTACTTAGACCTTAAGAAGCTCGACTCAAGGATCCAGGCACAGAAGAAGAAAAAATAGTTCAGTAAGCAACGAATCTGAGGACTCTGGCTAACACTATGGCACAACCCTTGACATAGCCGTAATGTCTTTCTGTACTGGTTCCTTCCTCACATAAAGCACTCTAATTTGTTTTTGATTTCTGAATAGAGATCTGACATACAGGTCACAGTTCTCAAGCTGCAGTTCTTCCAGCTGGGCAGGTGATGAGCTCCCATACCTCTCTAATGTGCTATCTGTACTAAAAGGCCTGGTGTGGGCCAGTGACTTGGGCAGCCTGTCTTGTCAAGCAATGCTTTGCATACCACACTTCCATACCTCACAACTCTTAAGTAGTCAGAAGTCAAGTGTTCTTTGGTCATATGGACCGAGCCCTCAAAAGTGTTGGCCAGCTGAAGCAACTTGATCCAGTTGTCCCGAGGCTCCTCCTCTTCTATTCTATGTGCTGTGCTGCAGGAGTTCCACACTACTGAGGATAAGAGGTACCTAAAGAGATTTTTATCAAAACCTGGGCATGGTTTTGGTTGCAGTTCCATAGGTTCAGAGGCCCCCTGATCCCATTTTTGCTGGTTCCAATGGCTCTTTCAGAGGGTGGGGAAATGCCTAGGACAGGTTCACTCTGGTTGTGGACGTGGGGATAAAGACATTACTTAGCAGGGTGTATGTTAGAATATCCAGTTCTTATACAGCCAAGCCCTCAGTTTGTCTTCCTTATTTTCAAGTTGACAACAGGTCTTCATTGGGCCAACACCAAGGTACCCTCGTGCAGCTCACTACCTGAGCCTCAAGGTTTATCTTCCAAAAATCAACAGCAAAGGGTGACGTTAGTAGTTAGGGCACAGGACTGGAAAGTGGACTCCACTGGGGTTGAAGCAGGCTGGAAGAGCAGTCCAGGTCATGGGTATAGCAGATGACAATCACAGAGGTAACTGGAAGACAAGCCATCTACATGCTAGACATAGAACATGGCTACCTGGTAGGGAGGAATGGGGCTGGAAATCAGACAGGATCAGAATGTAGAAAGCTACAGAATGTGTGCAAGGGCCAGGGACAGTGTTCCTGGTTATTGATACATGCAAGGGGATTAGATGGGAAGGTGAACAAAGGCTGAAAAAAAAAGTGGCCTTTCACTTCTATTAGGCCTTATTTCTATCAGTTTTATTACCATTTTAATAAATTTAATGATATTAGAGCTTTAATATTTGAAATTTATTTTGGTTTCTGTGCAATGATACAAAACTACATTGAAATGGCATTCAAAGCAGCTCAGTAAAACATTATGTACTGAAAAATACTTATCATTAGACCAAATAAGCTTTAAAAAAATAATTATATAGTTAAATTAAAGCTGAAAATATAAAACACTGCAAAAACAGTGGCACTCTAATTGGGTAAACAAAAAGGGAAACAACTTCAACAATCATTTAACATGAGAAACTTCTGAATTAAAGGAACATCAAAGAGTGTGAGGAAGCTGGCTTTGTTGGCAGCTTGAAACTACACAGCTCAGAACCAACACTGTTACAGAGGAGTTTCTCAACTGGGACATATTAAGGAAATTCATGTGTGACTTGTGGGACTAGCTGAGGTGAGATTTAGTCTTTCTCTGGATGAACAGTTAAATGGAACCTGGAAATCTCTTCCTGGGATTATTCCTTAAGCAAAGCAGTGTCAAAGGCAACCCTCCCAGCAAGACTTCAGAAAACAGCTGGCAGAACTATAGGATCTGGTGTCTGGTGTGTAAAATACTCTCCTCCCTGTTCAAATGATTCAGAACATGTGCAAAGTGTGCTAGCTTTCATCACATATACATAACAGCATTATGTATCAAGTTACCCTGTTAAAACAAGGAGCAGGCTTCCTCTTTTTGACTTAAATGACATGAAGTGAGAAAAAAATGAGAATAACCATCAGGGGAATTATAGAGGTTTATAATTCTATCACCAACTATTTCAATAAAAGCCATCACGGGAAAAGAAATGTCAGCATATATATAGTTACTTGTCAGAGCTTTCCGAGCCTTTCTAGATAGACTGGCTTTCACTACACTACCCCCAAGTCCAGAAGTGGATTCTTTCAATAATTTACTCAGTAACCTGTAGCAAGAAAACCAACACCTCTAATGACATCCATGACTGAAGCCTAGACTCCTATTAGAAATCACCCTTCAACCAAAAGGGGTGATTTCCTGGGGCAGGAAAGCCCATAGCTGTATAGATATAGGGGTGCCTCTCATGGCTCCATGTGCTTCACTGCCTACCTCTACCCTTCTCCCTGGTTGGAGAGGCCTTAGCCAAATTCTCCTCCTATACACCATCTCTAGAAAAACATGCTTCTGATTGTTTATTTTCAAAAGGACAACTATTGAGAAAACAACTTTTTTTTCTTAATCTTAAAGATTTTATTTATTTATTCATGAGAGACAGAGAGAGAGGCAGAGACACAGGGAGACGGAGAAGCAGGCTCCATGCACAGAGCCCGATGCAGGACTTGATCCCGGGACTCCAGGATCACGCCCTGGGCTGAAGGCAGGCGCTAAAACATTCAGTGTAATTTCTAAAGTGAAACTTAAATTCTATAGTCTTCCTTTAACACAATATTATTCAGATGCTCAAAAAATGGAACTATGTGGACTCCACAGAATACTTATTTTGCATCCACTTAGTGCCAACCTTGGTTTCTGAAACCAATCTCTGCTCTCCTCAAAAGCAAAATCCATCAAAAAGGGATGGCGAGCAGTAGCCAGGAAGAGCTTTATGAGACCTCAGTTAAGTCACATGCAGACTTCCTGAACAATGTCTCCTTTGCAAGACCCTGAACTAAGAGTATCTAGGGAATGTCACTACACTGTACGCAGATATGCAGATCGTGCCAAAGGCGCACCTACAAGTAGCTGCACTTTGGGGAAACAATCAGATATAGACATCAGAAAACATCTGCCCTGTTTTTTTTTCTTTTTTTTCTGGAGTTCCAAAATTTGTGATTGGCATTAGTACTTTTTAGAATAGAATGGAAAGAGCAAATCCTGTGAAGTGGGAGCAGTTAAGAAGGTGCATGGGAAAACTTGAGGTGGGCCCTGAAGGAACATTTGGAGAGGCAAGCAAAAGAAGAGAAGGGAGTACACCCTAATCAAAGAACAGCTGCGGGAAGCCAGGAAATGGAGGACACAGTAAGAACAAAAAGCCTAGATGGGCCTGACAAGAGGAGCCTTTGGCCTAGACAAAGGTAGATGCTCTACATCTCCTATCGAAAGGTACGAAAGTGCAGATCTACAGAGTCCTGAACACTAGGGTCTATAAAAGCTTGATTCTCTAAGTCACAAGAGGTAGATAATAGCTTTAGATCAGGGTAAGGATTTTGGAAAGATGTATCTGGTCTCATTATGCACACAAGAGAAGGTAGATAACTTATGATGGCTCTGGGTGGGTGTAGGCGGAGGTGGAGAAATTCAGGAGAGAAGTGAAATGGTGGGGGGGTGTGTGGCAGGAAAGTAAGGAAAATGGAAAGAAAGACTATATGGGAGACATTTTGTTTTAAATGGATAGGTCTTTTATAACAATAAAAATGATAAAAGACTATAGGCTGGAGCTGAGACAATTAAAGAAAATGGGCAGCTTGGGATGCCTGAGTGGCTCAGTGGTTGAGCATCTGCCTTTGGTTCAAGGCATGATCCCGGATTCCCGGGATTGAGTCCAGCATTGGGCTTCCCTCAGGGAGCCTGCTTCTCCCTCTGCCTATGTCTCTGCCTGTGTCTCTCATGAATAAATAAATATTTTTTAAAAAAATGGGCAGTGTAGTAGGTAGAAGAGAGAACTTTAGTTTTAGTGCCAATAGAACAAGCGAGCTGAAATATTTAGCACACCACAGGATTTGGTTCTTTGGGAACTAGGCCAAGGATAAACACTTGGGAGTCACTCGGTTGGAGGATGAAGAATAGATGAATTTCTGACAAGATGAAGGAAGACAGAAACCTGCCTTTAAGGGCTCTGTCCTCCACCAGCACAGGGTAAAGCAAAGTTCTTAGAAACCAAGTCAGTCAGAGAAACCAAAAGAAGGGGATTTCAATTTGGATGATCAATAGTGTCCTTTTCTATCAAGGTCAAGACTAAGCGGGCAGCGTACGTGGCTCTGCGGTTTAGCGCTGCCTTCAGCCCAGGGCGTGATCCTGGAGACCCAGGATCGAGTCCCACGTCAGGCTCACTACAGGGAGACTGCCTCTGCCTGTGCCTCTCTCTTTCTCATGATTAAATAAATAAAATCTTTAAAAAAAAAATGGTCAAGACTAAGCTCTGAGAACAAGTCATTAGATTTGACAATCTGAACCTCTGGAAAAACACTACCGGTAGGAAGATAAGGACCAAAGTGAGTGTGTAAAGGTTATGAAAGGAAGGAGTAAGAAGTAGAATGGATGGCAGCAGGGAAAATCTAGGCATGCATGAAGGTAGAAGGAAAAGTGCTAGTGTAGACAAGCAAACAGAAAACATTAGGAGGAGGAAAGGCAGGCAAAGGGGAACCATGGTTTTATGGAATGCTAGGAGAGCCTGAGAGAAGATTCCTTAGATAGAGGAAAGTATTATAAGATTGGTGTACAGGTAGAGAGAATGATGCCAGAAGCATTCATTCATTCCTTGTCTCCACCAATCTCAACTCAAAGCCATGCTCTGTTTTAAGCAAAGTGCCAGATATTGTGGCAACAGGATGGTCCCTTCTGCAGACTGACTTCTCAACAGCACAGAATTCATCCCACTGTCCTCATATCTCACATTATTTGTATTTCCCTGAGATCAGCTATTTCCGTTTTTTCTTTACAGAAACAGCTCTCTTTAATAGGTTAACACAACTAGACCAGATTTAAGGAAAACTTCAAACCACAGCATGATCTGAGACACTAACCTCAGTTACTGCAGAGGAACTCTGAATTTCTTAAATTTTAATAACCCCTGACATGGGTTACTAATTACCCTTGGCATTTTATATCAAATGAGAGAACCATTAACTAGATTAAGGTGGAAGAGAGTACAGTTGGATTCTGATTACAAGTCTATTTTTTCTACTTTAGGCAACAAAGGCAAAACAGAGTTTATGGGAAACCATTCATGAAAGCCTTTTGAAAATAATGTAGATCAAATCCAA